CGACATGGTGGAGACGCCTATCGGCCGGCCGGGAATTACGGATTCTTATTTTCCAGATATTAGCGAAAATATTGAATGAATCTTATTAAATTTAGGATATTCTTAATCAGTAAGCTCATTTGTAGTCCTCTAAAGAGCTATTTTATGAAAAAAAGATAAAAATAAAAATTTTTAATAAACTTGGGGGAATGCACAGCTAGGAACGGGTAAGGTTGGGTTAGCCGCGAGTCCGTATTTTATTTATTATAAATTTTTAAGAGCGAAAATGTAAAATCCGGCCTTTTAGAGGACTGCTTTATTATATAAAGAATATATTAAAAAAAAATTCACGAAGTTATGTCACTTATTTTATGAAATATCTGGACGATAAGATTCTCACTAGATTCATAAGGAGCAGGGGAAATTTCTGTGGTAACATGCTGACTGCTTGACAAGGAGAGAGCATCATTCCATCTTTGTCTCTCTTACATCGCATATGTAGTAGCGTCCATGTAGGTACAAAAACTAATACGTGAGCACACGGATGCAAATATTGAGAGATAATGTCAGCAAAAAGGCTATCATATTATTTTTATTTTTTTGTATATGTATGCATATGTAAATAAAGAACAAAAATAAAAACTATTTTAAATAATAAGAATCTATTTGTGTGTGTGTGTGTGTAATTAAAAATTAATAAAAAAATTAAAAAATCAATTTATATACCATATATTTTTTTTATATCATATAAAAAAATCTTAGAAATGTACTTAAATTTTTCGTAGATCCTCGATTTTTTTCATTGCTTCTAAACATTCAGCTAAAAGAGCAGTTGAGACTATTCGAATAAAAAATATTTCATCTTATTTTTTGCAAATAATATAATATATTTTTTATTTAGGAGTCCAAAAATATATGTTACGCATAAGTTATTTATAATTTTCGTTCAAATTAAGAGAATATTGTATTGAATATATTGTAATGCATATACACATTAATTTTCATTAATTTACTTGTTTAACAAAAACATGGTTTTTTGATAATAATTTAAAATTATTTCTGCTCAGTGATTTTTAAATAGCCGCAGTATATTGACGGTGCAAAGGTAGCATAATCAATTGTTTTTTAAATGAAAACTGGAATGAAGGAATTGATTAAAGCTGTTTTAATTTGTAGATTTAAAATTTAAATTTTAAGTTAAAATTCTTAAAAGAAATTATGGGACGAGAAGACCCTATTAAATTAATATAATTTTTTTATTTAAGGAAATAAATTTTATTTTAATGATTATATTTTATTGGGAGGATAATTAAATAAAATGAACTTTAATTTAAAGATAATTTTAACATTAATTAATGAAATTTTTATAAAGGATTGATTATTAAATTAAGAAAATTTTTTTTTTATAATAATTATAAAAATTAATTACCTTAGGGATAATAGCGTAATATTTTTAGAAAGATCATATTAATAAAAATGATTGCGACCTCGATGTTGAATTAAAATAAAAATTAAATAAAGAAGTTTAATATTTTAGTCTGTTCGACTAATAAAATTTTACATGATTTGAGTTCAGATCGGTGTAAGCCAGATCGGTTTCTATCTATAATAAAATTAAGAAATTTTGTACAAAACTTTTGTACAAAAGGATTTTATAATAAATTATATTTTTTTTAATGATATAATGAATAAATTTAATTGATCAAATATATGTAAATAAATAAAATTACTTTGGCAAAATTTAAGTGTATTAAATTTAGAATTTTAATGATGTATAATAGAAAAAAGTTATACAAGTAATAATTTGTCAAAATTTAAGATTATATTTTTATAGTGCGTTAAATATATTAAGATTGTTAATTTTGTTATTAATTATATTAGTTGGGGTAGCTTTTTTAACTTTATTGGAACGAAAAATTTTAAGATATGTACAAATTCGTAAAGAACCTAATAAGGTGGGATTTATAGGATTATTTCAATCTTTTAGTGATGCTATTAAATTACTTAATAAAGAATTATTTTATGTATATAAATCTAATTATAATTTTTTTATTTATGTCCTATAATTAGATTTGTTTTAATAATAATATGATTAGTATTTCCTTACATTACTAATATTTATTTTTTAAATTATTCTATTTTATTAATAATTGTTTTTATAACTATTAGAGGGTATGTTATAATTTTTATGGGATGATCAGCTAATTCGATTTATTCAATAATAGGAGCAATACGATCAGTTTCACAAATATTATCATATGAAGTAAGATTTATTTTAATTATTTTAGTTATTATATTAATAAGAGAGAGATATTCTTTTTTTGATTTTATTAATTATCAATTTTATTTATGATATATAGTAGTTTTATATCCTTTGTTTATTATAGTGTTTATTAGGATTTTAGCTGAATTAAATCGAAGTCCTATAGATTTTATCGAAAGTGAGTCAGATGATTTAATATTGAATATTTTAGGGGTGGGTTTACATTAATTTTTTTATCTGAATATGGAATAATTATTTTTTTAGATTAATTAGAATTTATATATTTAGGAATTTATTAAAATATTCAATAATTTTAACTTTTATTTTAATTAATATTTTATGTAGAATAGTAATTTTTATACATGGAATACTTCCTCGAATACAATATGATAAATTAATATATTTATGTTGGAAAATTATTTTACCAATAATTTTGGTTTATATTTTATTAATTTTTGGATTTAAATTTATATTATTAATAATAATTTAGTAAAAAAAATTAAATGTTTAAAAGTTAATAGAAAATTAAAATTTCTTTAATATGTTTTCAAAACATAAACTTAAATTCAAGATTATTAACTTAATTTAATAGTAATTTATAAAAAATTTAAATATTAAATATAATTATTTTTAATATTTTAAATTTATTTATAATAATAAATTTTAAAATATTTATTTAAAAATAATTAAATCTCAAATTTTTATTAGGAAAGGTAATAAGATAAAATAAAGAAAGTAACATAATGATAAAATTTGTCTAATAATGATAAAAGGTTGAGCTCCTGCTCATGTTAATAGAATAAAAATATTAATGAAAATTCAAAATAAATATTGATTTAAAGGATAAAATGATAATGAATTAAATTTTATAGAAATTAGAGGTAAAAAATATAAGATAATAATTGATGATAATAATGCAATTACACCTCCTAATTTGTTAGGGATAGATCGGAGGATAGCATAAACATATAGAAAATATCATTCAGGTTGAATATGAATTAAAAATGTATTTTATAAATAAATGAAATATTATATATATATAATATATATATATATATAAGTGTATATATATATATATATATATATATATATATATATATACAGATATGAAAGAACTTACGAGTAACGTATGATGGCTCAATGCAAGAATATTTAATCACGTAAAAAACTTGAGTTCAAATATATCAATATCAATTTTTTTATAATATATTAGAATATAGAAAATCATAGAAATATATTTTTTATATAGCGATAAACTTAAAAATTTGATATTGAAAATATTTTAATCATTTTACAACTACACACACTATAAATATATAAATGCAAAATACTTCCGTAAATAAATTTCAATAAATCAATTGCACACATGCACACAGCTGGTATGTAGATTTTTATTAAATTTATTTTCTGAATTATTTTACACTTATATATATGTAGTAAAAATATTTTCAATATATTAAAAAATTTTTAAATCGCCGAAATATATTTTATCATTTTTCTATATTCCAATATATATATATATATATATATATATATATATATTGTATTATAAAAAAATTGATATTGATATATTTGAACTCTAATTTACTGGATGATATACTGAACATCCTTGCATTGATCGATTATATATACTCAACGGTACGTTCTTTCACGTTACAAGTTATTGGAGCAAATTATACAATAGCATCAATAATCAAAAAGAAATCAAGAATAATCAACATATCCCTTATATAATATATATATATATATATATATATATATATATATATATATACGCACATATGTGCATAAGGATATATAAAATTTATAAAAAGTAGGTACTTATTAGCCTTGCTACGCTACTGCCTTCTGCTACGGAAGGCCAGAAAGCATTTTCAGGCGGCATCTCGCGTATACCGGCACGGTAGAGGAACAAGGAGAACACGTGATTATCGGTCCTTGTCTCTCTACGGTGCGTCCGCGTGAGCAATGCAATGGTGTATGTACGTGTACAGACATGCACCACTACATAAAACCCGAGAATTGGTTTCTCGGCGTTGGCAACATTGAAATCGGAGTTTCGCGTTGTCACCGCGCGAGGTCTCCAACATCAATTCGGAGTTTGGCCGACCGACCTGTCGACCCTTAAGGCATTTTGCGTTAGGCTATAATCAATTTAAGCATTGAATGTGTCTAAAAGATGAGAGAGTACATAAGAAATTTGATAAACATATAATTAATTTTCAACAAAACACGTGCAGTATGAAGTACATTAAATATTGCGAAATAACGTTCAATTCGATACAGTAGAATAAGTAATGAATATAATTGAATAAGAATATTCAACAATAAGGAAGAATTAATATTGTAATTTAATGAGAATTGAAAGAGAAAAGAAGAAAAAAAATTGCATTCATGTGTATTTATTATTATCCACGTGTAGATGAAAATCAAGAAAGCAGGCTAGAGAGAAGAAGAATGGCGAAAGCAGAAACTCTTGCAAAACATGAAGAGTTGAAAAGAAAAAAATTAAAGAGTACGAAGAGAAACGAGCTGCTGAGCTGTTGAGAAAAGGCAAAGTATTATATCTTTTTATGTAATACTTATAACTATAAAGAAAAATGACATATATTGCATAATAATGTAATTATATATTAAGTAATTAAAATTATAATGTGAAATAAAATAAATAATGTATACTATGAATTAATTATGATGAAAAAAATGATGACAGATGAAGGATATCCAGTATTTGAAAAAATAAACACAAGATGAAACAAACGATCAGACTCTTGCAAGACAATGAATTAGGTATTTGCATTATTATTTTTATAAAATTTTATCATTATATTTTTATAAAAAAATAAGTAATTTATAAAAACGATTTTATTATGATTAATTAATAATTTAACGTAATTATAATATCAAAAATAGCATAGATGAAAAAATAATACATACACTGAAAAAAAATTTGTATTTTTATAATAAACAGTAATAATAATGAAATGATAATAGATCTATATAACAATTGTAGTTTTAAAATAAAATACATTTTTAGTCTTATAAAATATATGTTGATTTATCTTTTTATAATTTTTATTGTTTGCAACAGTTTTTCTTGTAAAAGGATATAATAATTTTAATTATACATACATTTATATATCTTTATTAATTTATTAATAAAATAAAATATATAAGTAAGATTAATAAGAAATATTCTCATTATTTATATGCAATTATACTCCTTATAATTATTTATTTGTATAACTGTTGTCATAATTTTAAAATAATATTTTAACATTTTATTTCATATATTTTAAATGATAAGTTTTATATTTAGATTATAATAAATTATATATAAAATGTGATAACATCTTTAATATATATTAAAATAATATTTGAATCATATTAATATTTACAGAGAAACAAGAAATAAGCTCTACTAATAAAAGTATATCTAACACTGATGAAACAGTTCTTCGATACAGGTATTTATTCTATTAAAAAAATTATAAAATTATAACTTATATACAGGATGTCTCAGAACTGGTGGAAAAGTTTTTCATGGTATAGATTCTTGGTATCATTCGGAAACGATTTTTTCTCAGTGAAACTGTTGAGACACAAATAATTTTCAAACAGTTGAAAATAAAGACTTTTTTGGAAACTGAGCCTTGTGGAAATAAAAAAATAACAGAACTATATTCTTCAGTTAATTTTAGATGGAGTTTGCTTTAATAGAATTTTAATATAAGGCTTAGTTATAAAGATACATAATAACAAAAATTGGGAACATGCTAAAAATGATGGCCTCCCTCAACATTTTCATCAAGGAAAAATCCTTTCCAAATGATACCAGGAATTGCTATTAAAATCTTTTTGTCCAGTTCTGGGACACCCTGTGTATTATTGGATTCCCTATATACAGGTGATAAACAAAATAATGTGAACACCTGTGAAAAAAAATATTTATATTTGTTTATTAATAAGATTTTGGGCCACCATTTACCTTTTTTTCAGTGGAATGTTATCTCATTTTTCTATCTGCCAATTGCTTTAGAGATGTTGAAGGAGGAAATCTGCTTCTCATTCTTTCAAAATTGCCTACAGTCCAATGATATTAAACTATTAAGATGTTTAAATATTTTCCCTGGCCAGCACAATTACCAAATTTAAATATCAAACCACTATGAGCAGTTTTGGAGAAGAGAATGACTAATACTTTTCAATGATATGTAAATTTGGTAATTGTGCTGGCCAGGGAAAATACTTAAACATCTTAATAGCTTAATTGGACTGTAGGCAATTTTGAAAAAGAGCGAGAAGCAGATTTCCTCCTTTAATATTTCTAAAGCAATTGGCAGATAAAAGAATAAGACGACATTCCACTGGAAAAAAGATACATGGTGGCCCAACATCTTATTAATAAACAGATATAAATATTTTTTTTCATAGATGTTCACATTATTTTGTCTTCTCCCTGTATTTTTATATGGATGTACATATTGAGTATTGCTTATACATATATTTTTATATGAATATATATTAAGTATTGCTTACATATATCTTATCACTTGTGTACGTTCTTAAAATACACACGTGTATTATTTATTTAATGTGTCAATTTGATAGCTTATATTAGTACAAATTTTAACAGTAAAATTAGAATCTACACATTTTATAAATAGCTTCTAATAAGTTGAATTTTTTCTTGATCTTGTTTAATAACATTATATAATCATAAGTATAATCACAAGCTGATATGGATATATATATATATATATATTGAGTATTGCTTATACATACATATATTGAATTGCTTGTGTATATTTAAAACATATGCATACATATATATAAATATTTATGTATACATACATATTTACATATATATGTGTATATTTTTTATTTAGTAAACTTCAGTTTGACGTATACACGAGCACAAAATGGTTTTAACATATAAAAGACTTAAATAAGAAATGTGTAATTATACATGTATGTATGTATGCTTTGTTATGTGTATAGATTTATTTATTTTTATTAAGGCATTTGTATTTGTATACAGCTGTTATATGCATAATTATATGCATGTACAACTGTTGTATGCATGTTATGCATGCAACAGTTGCACATGCTGTACAAATTCTAATTTAATTAATAATATAATTAGTTCTACAGTGAAGACGACTATTTGATCACATATTTACATGTGATGGAAGACAATAAGTTGAACTGCAAGTAAGAACAAGAAGATAATTTTATTTAAAAAATTTGTTTATATAAATCCAAATCATTTATTAATTTATTCATGAAGTATCTAATTTTCTTAATTTTTGAAAAGGAATAGGTTTGATTTACTTGATCATGAATAGGTAAGTTCAGAAAAGAAAATATTGTGCTAAAAACTACGACTTGGAAGATGCAAACATATTAAATAAAGAGTGAACGTCCTTACTCAATAAATATTAAAGTAAATACAGTAATGGAAATTAATAAAATTTACAAAAAGAAAAAATTGTTATTTGTCTGTCGAGTTAAAAAAAATTAGACAATTAATTGGATTTATCTATAAAAAAACGTCCACTTTTACAAATGTTATAAATATTTATCCAATCTAAATTTGGAATCTATAATCTGTATATATTATATTCAATCTTACAAGACATCAAGATAAGGACAATTTGGTTGTCTTGTCTAAGAAAATTAGAATGAAAAAAATCAGAATTGGAGAAGATTAAAATATTACGTGAATATCTAAGAAAGATGAAGATCTTAATGAACTCTTAATAATATTTATAAAGCAAACGTTACATCACAGAAGATCAGCAAGAAGAAACTATTTGAATATATCGATTTTCAAAGAAAAAAATCTTCAATATTTTGCTCATATACATATATCGAATCATTGATGATATATAGTACAACAATTAACATAAATTTGTGTCTTTTATTATTATTTGCTCTATTATCTTCTTTTCTTATCTTTTTTATTTTATTTTATATATTCTCTTTTACATTATATAATTTATATTTTCTAATTCCTTTTTATTTTTTACTTTTGTTTATTTGATATTTATATATTTTTATCACATTCTTAGATCTCATATATTTTTTATTGATAATAAAATATACTCTTCTCTTCATAAATCTTAACTTTATAAATATAAACTTGTATCTTTTGAATATAATATAAATAAGTCGATATATTATAAATATAAGTGAACGTTTACATATCATTTATAAATATTATTTTAATATATATTCATCAATGTTACAATAATAAAATTAAGAGTTATTTATGAATTTTTCATAACAGTAGCATTAGATATATATAGTTATAAATAATTAAACTATGAAATTATATGTATTGAATATTGTTTATACATAAATATTCTTTGAGAACAGCATCATTTATAAGGATGGTTAATATGAATCGATAAACTAAATCGAGACTACATACAATTTGCTCAAATGACTTTTAAACTTAATATTTTGAATATAATTTACAGTGAAATATTCAAGAACAAAATGGAAATTATTCAGTGATGAGCAGTAAGTTTTTCAGCAGGATAAAAAAGCTATAACGTGTGAAATCTGCTTAACAGGTAAACTTTATATAATAGGTAAGCTCTGCATAAGAAAAGGTAAAGAAACATTATATATATATATATATATATATATATATATATATATAAATTTAACATCTATAAGATAGGCAATAAGAGCCAAATCGCGGATAACAGTGCGTTATTCTAAACGAAACTAAATTTTTTCGTTAGAATTAAATACCTGTGCACAAGGCACCAAATTTTACTTGGACACGGCCAAGATATAAAATTGGAATAATCTCTACAAGAGATTTTTAATTCCATGTACCCCCCTATTCCCCCTAAAGAAATAAATGCGAGAGAAAAATATAGATCCGAAAGTCGCAGAATCGGGAACCCGAGATCTTTCGCTTGCCGGGCGACTGCTCTTCCAACGTTGGAAGAGCAGTCGCCCGGCAAGCGAAAGATCTCGGGTTCGGTTCCCGATTCTGCGACTTTCGGATCTATATTTTTCTCTCGCATTTATTTCTTTAGGGGAATAGGGGGGTACATGGAATTAAAATCTCTTGTAGAGATTATTCCAATTTTATATCTTGGCCGTGTCCAAGTAAAATTTGGTGCCTTGTGCACAGGTATTTAATTCTAACGAAAAAATTTAGTTTCGTTTAGAATAACGCACTGTTATCCGCGATTTGGCTCTTATATTGCCTATCTTATAGATGTTAAATTTATATTCAGCCAGATATCGCAATTTGGCTTTTGAAAGTTTATGATAAATGTTATATGCTAAATATAGTCTGCACTTTAACAGCACAGAGTAGATAGTCTATTTATGTTATCTTGGACACAGATTAATAGACAGATCGCCAAAGGCCTGCCTAAAGAAGAGACCGCCATCTTCGTGCGATAGACTTTGCCCTTTACCGACACACTTTGCCCCTGGTTCGAGTCCGTGCTAAATTTCGTAGACTTGAACCAAAAGACTTTGCCCCTGGTTCGAGTCCGTGCTAAATTTCGTAGACTCGACCAAAAGACTTTGCCCCTGGTGCAAGTCCAGGCTAAATTCGTTTGACATTACCAACAGACTTTGCCCCTGGTGCGAATCCAGGCTAATTGATCATGAGACCAATTTGAGAGATTTGGCCCCTGTTGTGTGTGTGTGTGAGAGAGAGAGAGAGAGAGAGAGAGAGAGAGAATATTTTACATATATGCATATATATATATAAAATTTATTAAATATAAAAAATATATTTTTTACACATAAAATGTTTTTTTATTGAAATAATCACGATTTTAAATGTGATATAACACAGTGTTCAAAAATTTTTTAATTAAATTTTTTAATTAAATTTTATTAAAGAAAATTACTTCAAATTTTTTACATTAAGAATTTAAAGGCTCCTTATTCTCTTGTAGAAATTTATCACTACGCCAATTAATCACTTATTTTGAGTATTTAAAATACTATAATATACAGTAATTTAAGTATTCGAAATAAAAGTGATTAATTACTCGAAATAAGTGATAAATTGGCGTTACTAGTAATAAATTTCTATAAGGGTTGAAATAAAGTATAAGAGATAAATAGGCTATATGTGAGCCGTATGCGAAATGTGAGATGTAAGACGCATATTGAAATTTAATTTTTCGATATAACTTTCAAAAATGTACACGAGGTACAAAAAATTAGCTTGGACATTTGTAAGACTTAAAATTGGGATTAATTCTCAATTCTATTAATTAAATTTCGATATAACACACCTTACATCCGCGCACGGCTCACATATATATAGCCCATTTATTAGTGCAATTTTTAAGTTCCTTATTTTTCAAAGTTCACCTTTTTACGTTATCAAATATTTTTACGTTTTCAAGAATTTTATATTTTTACTTACCGCAGTTTCTTATCCAAATGTAAAATCTTTTATCGCAGTCTATAAAAAATTGAAACAATTTACAATTTTATGATATAATATTATTATTATTACAATTTCTATATATATGCACATCTGTCAAATATCGTGATTTATTTCACATTATTATTATCTATTTTAATAAAAAAAAAACAAAAACACTTGCAACAATCAAAAATAAACCGCCTGCCGCGAACGGAAAATGCCAAGAAAGCACGCAATTTCCGCGAATCTCGTAATTTTTTGAAAAATCAACAATTTCAACGAAATTGTAAATTCTTCAAATCACTGCACAAGTATAATTCACAATAATAATTTTCAGTAACTACGATAAAAAATCGTATACTGAAAACCGCAAACGAAAGTGCAATGGGAGTAAGAGTAAAGTCTGTGATAAAATTAATTGGCAATAGAAAATTAATAATTTTCAAATAGAAAAATTTTGAAATTACCGAGGATTTACAAATAATAAAGTAAAAATATTAAATAATTTATATAAATTTAACATATATAAGATAGGCAATAAGAGCCAAATCGCGGATGACAGTGCGTTATTCTAAACGAAACTAAATTTTTTTCGTTAGAATTAAATACCTGTGCACAAGGCACCAAATTTTTACTTGGACACGGCCAAGATATAAAATTGGAATAATCTCTACAAGAGATTTTTAATTCCATGTATCCCCTATTCCCCCTAAAGAAATAAAGTGCGAGAGAAAAATATAGATCCGAAAGTCGCAGAATCGGGAATCGAACCCGAGACCTTTCGCTTGCCGGGCGACTGCTCTTCCAACTGAGCTATTCAGATCCTTTCGATTCTATACTTTTCTCTGTTATATATATTAATGTTGGTAAATAAACGCCTTTAAGCCAGCGAAAGGTCTCGGGTTCGATTCCCGATTCTGCGACTTTCGGATCTATATTTTTCTCTCGCACTTTATTTCTTTAGGGGGAATAGGGGATACATGGAATTAAAAATCTCTTGTAGAGATTAGTCCAATTTTATATCTTGGCCGTGTCCAAGTAAAAATTTGGTGCCTTGTGCACAGGTATTTAATTCTAACGAAAAAAATTTAGTTTCGTTTAGAATAACGCACTGTCATCCGCGATTTGGCTCTTATTGCCTATCTTATATATGTTAAATTTATATTTATATATTACAGAGCCTAGTTAAACTCTTAATTAAATAATTTATGTTTTCGAATTTTGCTCGCGGAGAGGATTTTTAAAACAAGATTTTTAGAAGAGAGGACCTTTAAAATATAAACAGGCAAAAACGTTGGAAAAATTAAAGCGCGCGTTTAAACAGATAAACGCAATGAAATAAATACGCAATTGTTTTTACTTATCGCTGTAAGCTCACAAGCTTCTGACGTGCTATACACTTTTATATAATATATACAAGGTGTCCGGTAACTAACGGACCAATGATTAAGGGCGGATTCTCTGGCCAATTTGGAGACGATTTTTCCTTAGCAAAAATGTTGAGAAGTCAATAATTTTCGAGTTATAAGCGATTGAAAAAAATAGGTTTTTTGAAAACTAAACGTTTTGGAGTTAAAAGTCTAACATAATTACATTCTTCAGTTAATTTCAGGTAGAGTTTACTATAATAAAATTTTAATTTAAGGCTTAGTTATAAAGATACATAATGACAAAGATTGGAAAGTTGTAAAAAATGATGACCCTTTTCGACATTTTCGCTGAGGAAAAATCGTTCCCAAATTGACCAAAGAATCCATTTGTAATCATTGGTCTGTTAGTTACCGGACACTCTGTATATTGGACACGAGTTTCGTTTGTTTCAGATTCTCGAGAGTTGAAGTAGGAACATACGAGTATCATATATCGTTTGTGACTTGCCGAATGAAAGCAAGACAGAGAGCGAACGAGATGATGAGCTTAATAGCTCATAATGTTATAAATAAATAAATAAAAAATTATAACCTGACCTACTAGTTATTGAATCTTTTTTTAATAAAATGTTTCATTATTATTATCATCTAAGTCTAAGTCGTTTAATTACTTTTTAGTTTTTTAATAATTAATTTAATTTATTCTAGTCATTTTTATATGAGAAAAATAATATCACGTATACGTTTTATAATGAATTAATATATTTCGGGAACCGAATTATATATTCTTAATAATATAAAAGTGTTCAAAAATTATATTTGACTTTTAATTTTAATTATTTTATAGCAAAGAGTTCCGAAATCTCTTACACACATAATGGGGATTTTTTTCATCCATATAATTCGCAATTAAGTATATATGTTAATTATTAATTTTAATAAAATAAAAATTAAAATTAAAGGTCAAATATAATTTTTAAACACAAATATATTAAATTAATTATAAAACGTATACCCATGATAGTATTTTTCTCGTACAAAAATAATTAGAGTAAATTAAATTAATCATAAAAGATTAAAAATTAATTAAAGAATTTAAACTTATATTTTATATAATAATAATAAAACATTTTATTACGTCAAACCGTCGTGAAATAATTAAATAAAATTTGCTAGTTACGTCAAAGTCAAGTTTTCTAAGCTTATAAAACATTTTATTAAAAAACAGATTCAATAAATATAAGTACATGTTATATATATACTTATATTTATTGAATCTGTTTTTTTTAATAAAATGTTTTATTATTATCATATATAATATAAATTATTTAATTACTTTTTTATTTTTTTATGAGTAATTTAATTTGTTCTAGTTATTTTTGTACGAGAAAAATACTATCACGGGTATACGTTTTATAATGAATTAAATATATTTATGTTCAAAAATTATATTTGACCTTTAATTTTAATTTTGTATTTTATTAAAATTAATAATTAACATATATACTTAATTGCGAATTATATGGATGAACAAAATCCCTATTATGTGTGTAAGAGATTTCGGAACTCTTTGCTAAAATAATTAAAATTAAAAGTCAAATATAATTTTTGAACACTTTTATATTATTAAAATATATAATTCGACTCTCGAAATATATTAATTCATTATAAAACGTATACGTATTAGTATTTTTCACATATTAAAATGATTAGAATAAATTAAATTAATTATTAAAAAACTAAAAATTAATTAAACGACTTAGACTTAGATGATAATAATAATGAAACATTTATTAAAAAATAATTATAATAGGTCAGGTTAATATTTTATTTATTTATTTATTTATAACATCATAAAATTCTGTCCTTTCCGAAATACGCGAACGCTACGAAAAGATAAATCTCGTACATGCCGCCGGACGAGTTCATGAGCATGAGACGCTCTTATCTTGGGAACGTATTAATAGTTACTGCATTGACCACTACTACGATATGGCGCTGAAATCAGTGAGAAATGCTGGGGATCGATTGTCTATTTGTGTCGATTTTTCTCACTTTTCGCACATTCATTTCACGTGAAGAAATACACGCGATTGGCTATGAGCAAGATGAAAATACGATATCTCTAGATTCACGGGAGCACAAACCATAGTGAACATTCCGTAAAGCGTATATGCGTGCATATATGTTTCAGTGATACCTTTATCTTTATAACCTCTGCAGTTTGAACGGTGTGAATAAGAATGAATGTTACAGAGAAACAAAAAAAATTATGTTAAATTTTATGAATAAACATTCGGATTTCGGTCGGGGGCGGATACATTTTTGAACATGCTTGAATAAAATTGACGCGACATGTTATGAGAATTGATATAAAATAATACATTAATAAAAAAATAGTGTTTAAAAATCTTTTATTATAAAGTTAAGAAATGTACTGTGATAATCTTAATTATTAATTTATTATAAGATTATGAAATGTACTAATTTTATGCGATACAATTTATGTGATAAATATATATATAAATATATATATATATATATATATATATATATATATAAATATATATCCTATTCAAAATACCATCGCACAATATTTCTTAATTCGTACTTCTTCTGCTTGCATTATATTTATATCATTAAATGGTATCGGCACTTCTCCTTTTTCCTCCAAATATACTTCATTTAATGGAATTCTCCATTTATAAGCAATATTATGTAAAACACAACATGCATTTACAATTAGAGCTGTAAAGAATAGATTTAAAAAATACCTTTTCTTATCTCAATTATGCACTATAATTATTTACATACCAGCAAATTCTGGTGTATAATGTAATGTCCTCTCTTTTAATATGTATTTTAATACGTATTTTAATCGCGCTCTACTCTACATAACATATAATGCAGTAGGATATACGACACATTTTGACATTATTCGACACAATAATTCTTGTCGAATAATCTCACGTGAAATATTTCGTGTTTTCACTATAGTGAAAATTAGCCAATCAACTGAATGCTCACTTTTGTCATTTTCATCCAGACCTTTGGCGATCTGTCTATTAATCTGTGTCTTGGAGAAATGATATTCTTTCGCGAAATTGTTTTTCTTACTATTTATAAAAATAGTGTTAAAAGAACCGGATTCTATAATTTAGTTTTTGAAAAAGTTTAGAATAAATAAAATACTTTCTCTGACATTCATATGGCCAATTATATCCAATCGATCTGTGACTAGATGTGACTAGTTGCATGTTTGAGATTTTTAATATTTTTTCTAAAATAGCTCTTTAATCTAGTCTCTTGCCGCTTTGATAATCAGTATCATAATTTTGTTGGAATTTTCAATATAAAGTATTTTGACTCTAATATGACGACTACGAATCCATAATTTAATTTTTGACTTTTCAACAGTGGTTTCCATAGTCTTTCTCAAAGTGAGTGAAATAAACAATAAGCAATAAACAGTATATGTGTTATAATAGTGCTTGCATAGTCAATAACAAGAAATCCAAGGAAAATGGTGGCATTCTTTATGTGATAGATTTAAGTGACAATTATATATTAAATTACATACAAGAATAGAAACTGTAAACAAAATGAGGGCTATATTGATATTCGATCATCTGAACGATGTATTGTTCGCAAAGTACAATAAAAAATTTGCGAATCACATTTTGAAACTGGCAAAGATGCAAGGATTGCTTGATGATGATAAGGTTTGATGATAATAAGATTATGATTAATTCTAAAGAAGACTTGTTAAAGTTGTATACAAATTCTTCTAAATACTCTCTTGAAAGAGAGAAAGGAAACAAATATTAAATATATTTAGATGTAAAAAAAGAATTTAAATATAATAAGCAAATTGTTGACTGTAATTCATTAATAAGTAATTGTAAATATCTTTAGGATACTAAAGACTTAGAAAATTCCATACCGAGTCCCAACATCATAATGCAGCTGTTTTCGCCAATTGTTACCTCTCAACACGTGATGGCTTCTCAATTTGGAAACTCCTATACTTCCATGAAATTCCAAGATGGAACAAACATGGTATTTGATGAATATATTGGTTACACCTTCATATATATTGCCACGAAAGAGGTAGAGCTCATGAGACGTACGCTGGGAGTATGTGTATCCATTGTACGGCATGTGTGTGGTCCAGATATTGCAATGTTAGTATGTAGTTAAGGTTGTAGTTAATAGTTGGTAGTAATATAATAAAAAATAAATAAGATACAAAAAAATGTAAAGGGAATTATAAGAAATGATATAAAAATATATTTATTATATAGTGGCAAGTGTATATTAAGATATTAAATGACAGTAGTTTTATACATTTCTTGTCAAGAAGACTGTAAATTTAGCAAATAAGTTATATTTGAAAATTAAAATTGCACAATGCTTAGCTAGCATTGTATATTGCAACTAGATTATAATATAGTTTTTAATAGAATAGTTCTGATAATGATTACTTTATATAATAGCAATTTTCGCACTTAATTTATAATTAATGCAACTTAATTATTCAATTAATCAATTTTTTCTTTGTAGATTGAAGACCAACTGGCAGAAAGTGTGCCTGGTATCTTCTTTGTTGGATGCGTGGTCTACTTTAAGAAATTGTGAACAGAGTGTACTGACAGAAGCAGTGGAACAGTTGTCTGTGAATGCAGAAGTAGCTTCCTCAGTTCTCAAGGTGCTGCATGATGCCTGTGACAAGCTAAAGAGTTCACAACCTGAATTTAGTAATTTGCATGTGCTGCTCTTAGTGGGTTCTAAGTTTTTGTCACTGTACTCCAGCAAAAACGCTCATGATTTGTGTGCTTCCGATATTTTGTTAATGGTACTACTATGCTGGGTGATAAATAATAAACGAAAGCATGATCGATTGGAGAGTAATGACGATAGTGAAGATAATGATGATGACAGTGATATCCTATTACCAGAAAGTAGTGCTTCCAAAAGCGATGAAACGAAATTAAATTTTGGAGCTAAACTGGCTACTCCTACTTCAGAGGATATTACAAATCTCTTTCGTAAGTTCTTGCAGCATATCACTTATTCTTGCTAATGAATAATATTTCTTCATTTAATTAGGATAATAGAGAACTCTTAGTGAATAAGCAAATGTTTAAAATAAGTTAGATAAATTATAATTATCTTTTATCTATTATATTTTAGGAGGTTCCAGGGATTCTTCTGTGAATGAAGGTTTTTCATCATTGACTGATGATGATCTTTATAGTGAATTGCTTCTTCTTGGCTATCAGCACAACTATACAGCTAATGCAGTTCACATTTTCGAGTTATCAGACTCCATCAATCTGATAACAATTGTCGAAGCCACAAATATTTCCATTTCTTCAGGATTATGTGACAGTTTTCATTATTTAAATCTGATAAACAACTTGCAGTTTCAACAAGATCTCGACGAATTGAAGCCTGCTTTTGAGAACCTCGATATAGCAATAAAAAAAGTGCTGGAAGGAATAAAAAAAAATCGTTCTAATGTTGGTAATGATGTCGATATGTGTCAGAAGAGATTGCAAACTAAATGGGACTTTGTCCGGAAAAAGTACAACGATTTGTTGCGCTCCAGAGATCTCGAAGTGGTTCTGCAGATCGAGGCTAACATTTCTGGCTTCCTGGAAACTTTGAAAGAATTATTACGTTTGACCTGTTTTGATAGGAATTTTCTGAAACAAGGAATCGATGTTCTAACGACAGTTGGAAGACTTGTGAGACAGAAGCTAAATGATTTCAGCGATTTTCTGAAAGTTAAAGCTCTGAAGAACTTCACTCTAGGATCATATCCTTTTCTAAACAAATTTTAGAGACATGATTATGATTAGTTTTGTTCCTCTCCTCTAAATATTATTTTATATAGAATAGTAAAATTATTTTTAAGTTTATTTATTGGGTCTTTATTTATAAAATAAAATTGTATAAAATTTTAATTTATAAAATTTAGAAAATTCATAAAGTAAACTCCTTTTGAGAATCCAAGATAATAAGAAAAAATATAAATAATATCTTTTTTAAATTTATAAAACATTACGATTTTATAGTTTCATGTTACATTACAGTTTATAATATTTATACTTATAATTAAATAGAATCTTACTAATGCAAGTAACATTTATTACGTAAATTTTACATATAAAATATGTTTAAAATTATATATAAATATTAAACATATGTGAAAAATATTAAAATTTTTTAATTACAAATATTTTGTCCTTTCAAAAATTATTTGAAAATATTTAATAAAAATGATATGTAAAAAAAAAGACCCAATAAAATATATGAACATTTTTTATTTAGTATATCTCCTTAATGCTACATTTTTCAAGAACTTCCCTAACTATCAACAAGTATCTTGAAGAATTTCCGGGTCTGGTACACTTTATTTACATCGACAGGACAACCCATAGACTCATTGCACCCACATTAGATTTCACGAGTACAGAGACACTCGCACTTACGACAAAAAAAGTGAGTCCTGTCAACTAACTAGATATATACATGCACACATAAATTTTGTATTTATATGACCTTATTTCCTGCATTTTATTTTTCACATTCGGTATATATAGGCTTGTACTGGTGTTTATATGTATATTATACTATTTTTGCATTTCATTCTTGAGCAAACAATTAGAGTGAGACTGACAATATAAAAACAAAATATGTTAACTTTTCTAAATATAAAGTACTTGAAAATATCTTCCTTATAATCTTTGTACTAAAATCAATTAAAATAATTTTAGATTTTTCAAACTTACTATCAATTACAGAGATTATATTACTTTGATTTACAGATATATTTAATTTAACCACACACATGCAATATATAATATTTAGAAAAGTTAACATATATTATTGTCTCAATCTAAACGTTTGCTGAAGAATGAAATGCAGAATATAGCATAATATATGTATAAATGTAGGATTTCTGTACGAGCTTGGACTATATACCAAATAAGATACTTGAGCAATAACATATAGAAATAGAAATTCTTTGATACAAATATAAATAAAATGTTTATATATAGAGAAATCTTTTTTTCTTGTTAGATTTGGAACATGGTCGAGCAAAGCAGAATGCATTTGCAAAAGGGTCATTTATCAGTTATGTGGAAAGATACTACATTCAATTATTCCTATTTTCTGTGGTTCGAGGATAATTCTGTACGTGAAAAGTTTATATATATAGTGTAAATAAATTATATATTCTGTAAATAATATATATTATAATATAAATAATTATATGTATATAAATATATATTTTTTTCAGAGTTGTTCACCGCCGAAATGTAAAGTTTATCTCAATTATGTGATGAAAATTTTTCCAGTACCAGGTATACTTTGTGGAGATTATTACAGGTTATATTTTTAATTATATTCTCTGTAATTAAATATTTCTTTTTTGCCATAGTAGAGCTTTTTTCTGTATAAATTATAAATTAAAATTATAATTACTTGAATCTGACATTAAAAATATTTTTTAGACACTATGTAAACAAAATTGTCGTAAATGTATGAAAATTTTAAATTCTTAACTTTCAAAATACATATTAGAAAATATAATAACAATATATATAAAAATAAGAAAGCTAAATGGATTGTTTTATCAATAAATATATATTAATCAAAATCAATTTTTTTCTATTTAGTATTTATACATAAGGAGACTGTTTAAAATATATATATTTAAAATTATATTTTACACAACACAAATTAATTTGTTATTAAAAATATTTTTCCTAAAATATAATTACAGTGATAGAATATTATAAATTATATAGTATCATAAAAGTCAAATACCGAAATAATTCTTTTTCTGTGTAGAAAACTGACAGAGACGTGTTTTCCCAAACTTTCGCCAAGCAAGGTTCGGATTTACGAATTGTACTGCGTACATTTGGGATTGACCACATCAACTTGCGTCTTGGAACATTCCCGAAGGCTGGCAGCCACTATCTGGGAAGTCACCGGGGTACCGAGCAATCTTGCAGATATATTCTAAAGCGACATTTCCCAAACAAAGTCTTTGATTGACACCATGTCGTTGTTTCATTCTTTAGATCTTGCATTTCGATATTTTTCAAGTCGTTATTTTAACATTTGTGTTTTTAAGTAAGATTGGATTTCTGTGATAATTTTGTTATTATGTTCTTTTATTTTCCATTATTTTAAAAATATTTTAATCTTTTCTGACTATTTCATAAATATTCTTTCGTGAAATTTTTAACAAAATAAAATAAAAATGCATTTTAATTATATATATGTATATTTAAATTTCTTATTTTTATATTATAAGGCTTTTGTTTCTTCACTGTTATAAGTATAAAATTAAATTGGCATCACAGAAACGAGAAATAATATAATTTTTTTTTTTGAAGTGAGGAATCAAAAGCACTATTCAGTAAAATATTATAAATTAATAACTTCATTAATCTAAATAAAATTTTATTTATTTTTTGTTAATATTTTCAATTCTAATTAAGCATATATGTAGCCAGAAAGTTAACTGATATTAATTATATAGGTTTATTAAATTATTTTTTTATTTATATAACAAAATGAAATATTCATTATTATACATAATTTATTTTTATTTACAAAGTATTTTTTCAAGTGTGTACTAACTAAAGGTTGACATATCATTTTTATAGCAAAATATATTTACGTCATATAGAAACTCAATGGCACAATACATAATATGAATTAAGTGACAAACATGAAATAAGAAACAAAACGTATAATTAATCTCTTGTAAAGTTCTTTTCGAATTTTTTGCAGAATTTAAGGCACCTATAAATAGAATAATTAATACAAAAATTGTTTTTAATCTTCCGCAATAAACATATTTCCTTCTCAAAGACCAGGCGCAGTTTCGTCCATAGATGTCTTAATTTTTTAAACTATGAAATCTCTATTTTTTCCTTTATGGATTTTCTCAAATTCTTTTCAATTTCTTTCGATCTTGTGCTTTCTATGACTTTAAAATTCTTTTTTATTTTTTAAATTCCTCCAAATCAAATTTTTAAATCAAAAATTAGATTAAAAACTGAAGTATTTTCTCCAAGGCTTATATTCTCCACTCAAATGTCCAATGGCGCTATTGTACTGCACTTCTCCAGATTAGTTTTTTTGTGATCTGGCTATAGCCTATGAAATACAATTAAGTATTACTGAAATAAACATTTATTTGCTATATCAATAACATTTTGTTTCATTTAATGAAAATTTGAAAGAGAATTAAAAATTTTTAATTTATATATTGTCAGTAAAATGATTAAATTTTTTGTAGAAATCTTTTATCTTTAAAAAACTTATAATCCATAATCAACTTAAATGGGAAAATTGTTTTTTTACTATATTTTTTACTATAATTACTTTTTCTTCTAAAAACAATTAATATTCCTTTTAAACAACTTTTTCCTTCTTTTTTTTTATCTTTGCCTCTAGGTCTCACCTGAGAATAGGAGAGTTAAGAGGTATGGAAGCAGGACATTCTGCATCAGAGAAATCTTGTTCTGGTGGTGTAGTGCTTCTTTCGCGAGAGGAATGCATGTAGGATGTGCCTGGAGTACGACGTACTTTTTTCATGCCTGGCGTGATTTCATGACTGCTCCGACCGCTACTTCTGCCCCTACCTATGCTTATGTCACTGCCTTCTTGGCAAATCGGTTCAGTGTCAATTTCCGTAAACCGTCTACTATTGGTAAAGGAGTTTTGCGTTTCCTGCTGTTGATTATCACTTTCTTGTGAATTGTTACGTCCCAATCGACGAGATTTTTCTGCGCTTTTAGCGATACAGGCAGCGGTATTACGACAAGGAGTTCGATTAGGAGTAACTGATTGACCCTATAATTAGAGAGAATACATACAAACGTACAAACATGCGTAATAATAAATATGCACATATAATTTTATGCAAATTCGCTCTTTTTTGGTTTTTTCTCATAGTTTTCATTATTAAAAATTTTTAACTAAGTTTTAAATTAGGCTTTACACTAAAATGTTTAACAAAAGTGTAAATAAGCAAATAACAAAAAGTAAATAAAAGGTAACAAATTTGTATACTCAATAAAAAACTAATACTAAATTCTTAACGTCCGTGATAAATTAAAGAAAACGTCTGTGACAAATCAAAAGAAGTGTAATTTATCTAAACGATATATCCTAAATATTATAACATCTAAGTTTCTAAGATAACATACACAAGGTGGGGTGTGCTCCCTGTGAAGACGTGCGTCATCGCCGATTTTCATCTCATTTTTTATCGAAGAATCGAGTTTCTCCAGAAAACAATTTTCTTTGCTTGCCTTGGAAATCCTATCGCAGTTTTCGCCGTTGACTTTCGAACTTGCTAATTTTTTTACTGCGATTTTGGTTCTCAATTCGCACACTTGCCTCTCCAATTCGGCTACCTCCAGATCAGATTCGCACACCTTTGGGATCAGTGATGTCAAATGTTTTTCAGCAGCCTTCTGAATTCGCATAGCGGATTCTAATCCACCTAGCTTTGCTACGTCCAAACTATAAAGAATACATATCTAACTAACTGCTAATTGATATTTTTGATTGTTGTATATTTTAATGTTAAAGTAAAAATGACAAATTTTGAATTTTTAATGCAACATTCTTATATCTATAAAGTAAATATTTTCTAGCGATAAAATATATTATGTATTTCATTAAACAGTAATAGATTCTTTTGTAAAAATAAGCTTCAATTTTTTATAAAACATTCGAACGATTTTTCAAATAATAATGAATTTAGAAATAGAAATCGTAAAATTTGCATAACATAAGTATAAAGTAAAAAAATTCGAGATTAAAATTATATATAATATTATTAAACATACAAGATAAACAATTTACAGTATATGTACATTCTATTTAGGAAAAAATATTAAAAAGAATGAATATTTGATAATATTAATTAATTACTAAACGTTGTAAATTTAATGCTTTTCAAATTAATATATATATATATATATAAATATATATTTACATACACTTGATTAATAGATCAACAGATTGAAATAATAAAAATGATTTCTTACATTTTAAGAGGAAGAAATTATTAAGTGCAATAATATAATAATTATTACATTGTGTGTCTGATAAATGTATACTCACTTCAATGATTCTATTAGTTTGGTAAAGCCATCAGGTCTGCGTGTAGATTTTCTAACAGGTGTCGGTTTATAGTCCGAACCATCGTGTCTGGATGCATCGTCTCCCAGATTGTTTATTCTCAAAGATATAGGTTCATATATTCTATAATAAATCAATAATAAACAAATTTTAAGATAATAATATAAATAAACTTTCATTGCTTGTCAAAGTCCAAATTATTTTGTTTTGTAATATATTAACATATTTATTAAAATTAGCAATTTAATTATAAGAAGTTTCATAAATTCATCATGTAATCCTAATATAATATGATTAAATATAACATTAATCACAAGAAAAAGAGAATCATGCAGAATTGTAATGTAATCAATATATTCTAAAACCAAATAATGATATATGTTAGATTAAATTTTATATAAAATAAAAATTCTCATAATTATGTTATAGATCTTTTTTAAATATCTATTCGAATAGTGAATAACTATAATTAATTTTATGTCAGAATACAGGATTTTAATAAAAAAAATTTAAATCACAACAATTGATCTACAAAGGAAAGAACCAAGATCCTGACAGAATACTACCCACGTTGATTACGTCTGAGGAACACATGTCGAAATTGTAAGTGCCAGATGTCTCAGAAGTAGAGGCATTGAGAAGACAGGTAAGAAAGAATCCTCTTTACAGCCATTTACACCAGAGAAATGTG